GTTTTACTGAGGTAAATCTCATATTTCAACACAAAATTCTAACATCTAAAGATTGAGTCATAAAAAAATTCTGTTTTTGTTTATCAGCTTTATTCTTCAGAGAATAGATTACAATTATATTTAATTGTTTTACATTATATTATATAAATTATATTTATTTATCATTACTAATTGTAACATTAACATACATACATGGATAAATAAATAAATATCAAAAAAGTATTTGATAGTGTTTAATGTTTTTGCTTTGTATTTAGAGATTTTCAAAACGAATATTCAATGTTATCAGTCCTGATCTGGCATCTCATCTCTTTTTCCAACTGCCATAATGTAGCTACCCTGTGCCTTCTCTATAAATATTTTTATGGCAATTGATTTAATAATCTTTTCTCTTTCATTTAAAATCAGTCCCACATTATTTTCATCTAGTTAACTGAGATTTTATATTTTTTTCATTTCGCACTATACAAGGCAATAAAACCACTAAGATGCAGTGGGTTATTGAGCATTAGTGAAAATGAGAAAAAAAAGGAGAGAGAACTATAAAAGAACATCAATTAAGAAGACAGAAGATAATAATTGACATTGCATTTTCTGACAGAATTTAGGATTGGTTGAGAGTTTTTATTACTAACATTATTTTGTTTCATTTTGTAAATAGGATTTTTGGAGGGAACTTTATAAATGCCCATTGGGGTGAGATTTTATTTTAATTAGTTATTTTTTTCCCACTCCACTAGTTAGGACTTCATAGAGACAATGTGGTCTTATGGTAACTGTTGTAAGAAGGATAAGTAAGAATGTGTTGTTTTGGTACAAGGAAAATTATAGTACATTTGGATCAGTGATTGTGGCTAGCTAAGTTAAACATTGTCTGAGTTGTTGACCATGATTTGTCGTGGGAATGAGAGTGGAGTGGTTTCCCGTTGCCTTCTTCACAGTGGTTTATGTTATACTGGCTATTGACTCAGAGAGTTCCTCCAAGAGAAAAAGAGACAAAAGAAAACAATGCATGACATACCTAGCAGGCTTGAGCAAGTGGATGAGAGAATGTGGTCTGGGAGAGATGGCAGAAGGAAGGAAGAGCTGCAAGGGAGAGATTGAGGTGGAGAGCCATGATTGCCTACATCTTGAGAGGATATAGCACATAAAAAGAAAAGAAGTTAGCCATAAAACAGATAAAGACCAGCCTCTCTCTTCTCCATCCTCCTTTTGGCTGTGTACCACATTCCATATATTTCAAGAATAAATATCACTTTCCTCTTTGATACTTTGACTTCATGTATTTAAGTGTAGTTCTAGATTGGGAGTTAGGTCTCATCATTTTATTGCTGAAATTGCTAAGTGTAACTTATTTTGTTTGCTTGCAATTCATGCATGTGGACTTTTCTTCAGGCTCCTTTCCTTCCTGTCAACTAAAATCTACAAAAATTTAAAGTCAGTGTCAGTCAGGATTTTCTGTCACACTGAATACTTGTTTTTTATTCTACTTTATGCTTAGTAATGTACTTTTTTTTTCATTTTCTTGCCTGCATTTTCATGAATTTGGAACTGCTCAGCTGTGGGGGAGCCATGATTGCCTACATCCTGTGGTGACACACCACATAAAGAAAAAAAGATCACCTTCCAAAAAAAAAGAGAAAAAAGATTCACTTTGATATTCAACATTATTTGCCATGCCATTTTTATCCAAGAAAGTTTTCCAATTGAAACAACTGCAATGGGCGTAAAAGGTAAAAATCAGATGGTTCAAGATTGAGGATTTATGGCCTTTGTGTATAACTGACCAATTTCTGGAATTTGGGGTATAACAGAGTAATTTATGGCATTTTAGGTAAAACAGACCAATTTATGGCATTTGGGATATAACAGACCAATTTATGGTGTTTTGTGTATAGCTGACTACTTTATGGCATTTGGGATATAACAGACCAATTTATGGTGTTTTGCATATAGCTGACCACTTTATGGCATTTGGGGTATAACAGACCAATTTATGGTGTTTTGTGTATAGCTGACCACTTTATGGCATTTGGGGTATAACAGACCAATTTATGGCGTTTTGTGCATAGCTGACCACTTTATGGTATATGGTGTATAACAGACCAATTTATGGTATTTTGAGTATAATAAACCAATTTATGGTGTTTTGTGTATAACAGACCAATTGAGTTATGAAATTTCTTCATGCTTTATTCTTGTTGTCATTGTATTGTCAGGAAGGAGATTTTGGGTGCGTTTATGGAGATTTATGCTTCTTAATTCACTTCCCTTTGCATTGAACAATGTCATATGTAACCCGTTTTTCATCACCTGTTATGATATATTTATTCACAGAACAAACTGAAGGCAAGAGAGATAGTGGAAAACAACACCTTGGCTACCTGGTAAGTTTTCATTAATGGATAGCAGAACAAAGTTCAGGAGAGTGTTGCAGAGTTGTCATAATTCGCTCATGTCACACTGGCAGCATCCCTTCAAGTCTGTCGCCAGTGTTAACAAAGGCTGGCCTTTATGCTGTCTAACGAGGTTACTACACAGTTTTTTTCCGTCATGTGTGACATCACCCATTCCACACAGATTGAGTCTCCTGTACAAAGCACAGGGGATCTTATTTCGCTTACACCAGGATGGGGTGGAAGGCTGTGTCTACTACATAAAGATAGCAAAGAAACAAAATTTATTAAGAGTGACAAAGGAGAGGAAATTGTGTAGAGCCATGATCAGTAATGTCCTGAAGGGACATGGTGCTTAGAAGAAGAATTAGCTAGTATAAATGGCTGGTGTAACAAGATTCAGGAGAGATAGCAAAGAAACAAAATATATTAAGAGCTACAAACAAGAGGAAATTGGGGAGAGCCATGATGGCCAAAGTCCTGAAGGTAAATGGCACATAGAAGAAGAATGAGCTTGAGCAAATGGAATGGCAGAACAAGTTTAAGGAGAGATAACAAAATGAAACAATTTATTAAGGCATACAAACGATAGGAAATTGTGGAGAGCCATGATTGACAATGCCTTGAAGGGACATGGCAGATTGAAGAAAAAGAAGGAGCTTGAGTAAATGGATGGTGGATCAAGATTTAGGAGAGTTAACAATAGGACAAAATTTATTAAGTGCTACAAAGGATAGGAAATTGTGGAGAGCTATGATCAACAACATCATGAAGGGACAGAGGACATAGAAGAAAAATGAGCTTGGACCAAGGTTCAGGAGAGATAACAAAAGGTAAGTGAGGAAACTGTGGAGATAACCCATGTCTTGAAGTATCATGGAACATGGAAGAAGAAGAATGAGTTTGAGTAAATGGATGACAGAACAAGGTTTAGGAGAGATAACAAAAGGACCAAATTTCTTAATAGCTACGGAGGATGGGAAATTGTGGAGAGCCACAATCACTAACGTTCTGAAGGGATATATCACATTGAAGAAGGAGAATGAGCTTGAGTAAATGGACGATAGGACAAAGTTTAGGAGAGAAAAAAAAAGGGCAATATTTATTACAAGCTACAAAGAATTGGAAATTGTGGAGAGCTACAAACACTAACGTCATGAAGGGATATATCACATTGAAGAAGGAGAATGAGGTTGAGTAAATGGATGACAGAACAAAGTTTAGGTGAGATAAAAAAAAAGGGGGAATATTTATTACGAGCTACAAAGGATGGGAAATTGTGGAGAGCCCGACCACCAACATTCTGAAGTACAAAGTAGAAAAACCAAATCCAGTAGAATTATTCGTTATGTTATCATATTAAAAAGGTTCTATCTGTATTTTTACTAGTTTTGAAATATTTGATTTCAAAATTTGGTTAAATATTAGTTTTAATAAACTGACAGAAACGTGTCTTTACATACTGTATATATATATATATATATATATATATATATATATATATATATGAATGAAGAAATATAGTTTTAAGATGAGCAATATTTATTGGTTAAAGTGCTCAATATCAGAGACAGAGCATATGTAAATATAAATATAATAGTGAACATTGAAGTCAACACTCAAAGACTACAGGCTGTTTCATGCTAGGCACAATTGTCAGGCTGTCATATATATATATATATATATATATATATATATATATGATGCATATAATTTTCTAATGATTAAATGAAGATTTTTATACAAATTGTAAATAATGCTAAAGGCTATAACTAAAGAAACAAAATGTCAATTGCACATAGAATCTTTTCATCTCAGGTGCCGATATGCAGGCTTTTGGCAGACTGCTTCAAGTCTCATTAATTTCCTTGAATAAACATCAGTAATTGCATCCATTAGAGGAGGCACAGTGGAATAAAGGATAGCAGCTCAGTTTGAGGAATTGGAGAGTTGTGTTCGAATTCCAGTTCAATCCATTATATTGACTTACATGCTAATACTCTTGGGAAAGGTATAAATTCTCTACTTCCCAACAGTTATGGGTAAGTAGCTGGACAGACTGGGTTGTATAGCCTTGTATGGCAACTGGTCTACTGGAGAAAGAAATGGCAACATACTGCAGGAAAAATGTGCCTCGTCAGTCATGTATCGAAAGATACATGATCGCCTAAGCGTGTATGACCGAGAACAAAAAGAGTAATCAGAAGGACAATAGATAGCGATTGACATTGCATTTAAATTTTTGAAGATTAAAGTTGGCTGGAAAGCATGGCACAGGAAGGAAGTTCCACAAGTGAGAATGGGTAAATAGCCAGACTGATCAGTTTGATAGCCTTAGATGGCAACTGGTCTACCGCAGAAAGAAATGGTAACCTACTGTGGGAAAAAATGTGCCTTGTCAGACATGTATCGAAAGATACATGATCGTCTAAGCGTGTTTCACACATGGCACATAACTGACTGAACTAGATCCACTAGAATTCTTTAATAGACATATCTAAGCATTTGTAAGTAATTTTTAGGTAGACTACTTTAAAATCTATACCTGCCATTGAGATTCTACACCTATTACATGGACTTACACCCATATCATGCTTCTTGAATGATCACAGAAGTTAAGCAATGCTGAGCCTGGTCAGTACCAAGATGGGTGACCACTTGGGAATACCAGGTGCTGTAACTTTGGATCTCAGGATGGTGTAAATGAGTAATGTCTCGGAAATGTTAGTCAGAGAGTCAAGTTCCAATTCGTATCAGGCTTGTTATAGTCACTTACATGCAAATACACTTAGGAAAGATATGAATTCACCTTTTCTCCCCCAGCTATTTATTAGTAGAGCTTGTGTCTTCTTATCTCTGCCATGTCCCTTCAGGACTTAAGCAATCATGGTCCTCCACATCTTCCTGTCCCTTGTAGCTCTTAATAAGTTTTATCTTTTTGTTATTTCTCCCAAACCCTATTCTATCGTCAAATATGTTATAGGCAGCTCTCCTTTGTCACTCTTACCCTCAATCTGCCCTGTGAGGATCAGATTTTCCAAGCCCTCTTTCCTCATTACAGTCCCCAGAAATTTCAACTGCCTCTTCTTGATGTTACATATTAGTTTCTTTTTCGTTTCCATGTTCTCCAAAATCTCATTGTTGCTCACATGTTTAGTCCATGGTATTGTCAGCATCTTTCTACAGAACCAGATTTCTCTTGCTTCTAGTCTCTTCTTCATCTTTGAGGAGAATGTCCAGCATCCACTGCCGTACGGCATGACAGATATCATATAACAGTTCAATACTGTTTTCTATGTTTCTAAGAAAGTTTTTCTGTCTCTTAAACCATTATTATCTCCTCAAAATTTCTGACAATCTAAAATATTTTCTGGCTTTACACAACCAGCAAAAGGTTGATAATCTGTAAAACCAAATAAAAAAAGTACCGATTACTTCTAATCTCCAGTAGAGCAACTCTTTGCTTTTTCTTGGGCTAATATTTTCTACATGAATTGGAAGGATTATATCAAAACAATTCTATGTTAACAGTTTTTTTTCTTGCACTTTTTAATGATGGAACTCTCTTCCAGCTTCTTGCTTTCCAGCCAACTTTGATCTTCAAAAATTTTAAAGCAATGTCAATCATTATCTTCTGTCTTTGTAATTCCTCTTCTTTTATTGTTTTCTCTCCTTAATAATGTTTTCTTTTACTCATATTCTCAATTTGATCTTCAAAAATTGAAATGCAATGTCAGTTGTATCTGTTTATATTTCTGAGATGAGATATGTACACTATTTACATTATTCGGACTATTGTCCTCATGTTTGTTGCCATATTTATTACAACATTTTTGCCGTTGTACACTCCAGCCTTCTTCAGGTGGTTGGAATGTCGAACTGAGCCCTTTATTTTGCTCAATGTGGCAGACTGTTCTAGTTCCACATGACATGTCTAATGGATGTCAATTATCAGTTGCCTCCTGTTAATTCCCCTCTGAAAGTTTTCCACCACCTTAACCAGGTATTGGATTCACATTCTTTGGGTCCTGTCACTGGATCTAACTAATGCCTTTATCCAACTGTGCCATGTGTCCTTAAGGACACCTGTGTATGAATTTCTGGGTATTGTAAACCTAATGTCTTCATCAACCGTTTTTTACAAGTGCTCATATTGCAATTTTTTGTTGTTATCATTGCTTTTCTCTGGCACTCCTTATTAATGGTTACCATGTTGTATTCATTTCTATGCTTGGTCGGCTCAGGAGATTTTTGTGCTGATTCCTTAAGTTTACGAATTTGTCAATGATGTTCTTTGCCTATGATCTCAACCTGATCCCTCAGAGGGCAGTGATCTCCCTTTTCTCTCCATATGTGGTCAGTCATGCTTGATTTTTTTCACTTCCCCTCATGTTACAGCTTTCTGGTGTTCTTGAAGCCTTACCTTAAGGGGGCAGCCTGTCCCCTCTTCATATTTCTTTCAGCAGATGAATGAGATAGCATACACACAGTCTTTAGTCATGTTCTCTCTATCGGGGGTCTTACTCAGGAAAGATACCTGCAATGTGTCATCCAGCTTTTAAAGGTTGTCCTGATGTTATATGGACCACAGATCCTTTGTATTTTCTCTGATAACCACTTCACATAAGGCAGGCAAACTGTTTTCTGAGTGTTATTGTCCTCCTCCTCTTGTACCCACCTATCCCAGTTTTTTGGGACTGCTGCCATGTACCCAGGGTCGTTGTTACATGATAGGGTACTACTTATAATGAAGAATTCTTTATCTAATGTCTCTGGGTCACCACTTATGACATTTGCTGAGCATTGTAAACAGCAGATTATCACTTTCTTTACACTGTATGGAAACGTTGTAATAAATATGGCAACAAAGATGAGAATGTCAATCATTATCTTCTGTCTACTTAATTCCTCTTCTTTTATTGTTTTCTCTCCTTAATAATGTTTTTCATTTTTCTTATATTCTTTCCCATTCGGTAACCCTTTACATCATAGAAGCTTTATTGCCTTGCTTGGGGATGAAATGATTAAAAAAATCATAAAAGCTTCTTTCAGTATCATCAATTTCTTTCCCTATCATCATCCACTTCTTCCAGTGTTGTGTTTTTTGAGTTTGGCCATCTTTAGTCTTTTACCATGCCTCCAAGAGTGGCCCTAGCAGGAGTTTAGAACTCCTGATAACATTGCTCTCATCATAAAAGAAGCAATCAGCAAAGTAGAAATCCAAATTCTTGGTTATTGGGAAATAATAAAAGAGTAATCAGGAAGACAAATAATAAGGACTGACATTGCCTTTAAATTTTTGAAGATCAAACTTAAGTGGAAAGCAAGAAGCAGGAAGAAAGTTCAATAAGGGAGAAGATTTTGAAAAATAAACTGTTAACATAGAACTTATGGTTACATCTATCCAATTGAACTAAATTTTGATAAATAAAATAGATTGATGAGACCTTGTTGCCAATCTAGTACTGCACTTAAATTCATAGTATCTAGGTACCATAGCAAAAAGCTCGTCCGAACAATTACTATGAAAATATTTATAGAAAAGGTACAGGGAAGCAACTTTACAGCAGTGGGAAAGTGACTGAAACCGAGATGCCAGATCAGGACTAATATTATTGCTGATTATTTTTTGGATTTTGCCAAGAATCTCTAAATATATAGCATAAGCACCAAACCATATGTGGCAGCAATATTCCAAGCATGTATGAATGGAATACTTATAAATATATGATAGATTCAGGTGTGAAAAATTATCTAGCATGGCACAATGAACCAACTTTCTTAGAGCTGACTTAGCAATGGATTCAATATAGTCTTTCCAATTCATGTCTGCTGAGAATATTAGCCTGAGAAGGTGCAACAAGTTAATCTCCTGGAGGTTAGCATCAGCTATACTGATAGAAAGCAGTGTCTTAGATGATTAATTGAGAGCAGTTTTGCCTTGGTGGTGTTAAAATTAACAAGCCATCACTTGCCCCAGTTAACAACTGACTTTAGGTTATTTTTTAAATCAGCCAAAGTTTGACCCTATCTATTTGATCAGACTAACTATTGAGACAAGATTTGTCTTAATTGAATTTAATGCACATCAAGAACCCTGATCTAAGAAGAATCAATTTGCACTGATTCCAGTAAGTTGTGGGTTCACCCTATAGGATACCAAGGTTAGTTGAACTTAGGATGACAGGAGATTATATCAATGAGGTATTAAAGGAAGAAAGGACTAGACATCAATTGCAAAAAGACAGAATGTATGGTTGGTATCAAAAACATTTAAATATGCAGTTTTTGTTATTTGCTAATGTTCTTTGTGATTCTCTATTGAAACTCTATAAGGTCTGATATGATAATAGTCCGGGGTATGATGATGAACTACATCTGTTACAAGGACTTCATATTGGTGACTTTGTCACCAACATTGAAATCCTTGAAAAGGTGACGATCACCAGCATGGAGACCATGCTTCTGAAGTCCCAGCTATGCTGGGCTGGACATGTTTCCAGGATGGACAATAATCACCTACATAAAATATTATTGTACAGTGAGCTCTCCATTGGCTAGCATGGCATAGGGGCACCAGAGAAACAATTCAAAGCTTGCCTGAAAAAAAAATCTTTTGGTGCCTGTCTCATCAACCATTACCAATGGTCAACCATAACTGAGAAACGTGATACCTAGTATCTCACCAACAACCATGCTGTCTCTTTATTTGAAAATACCTGCATGGTCACTCTCAGGAACAAGAGATAGAGAAGAAAGTACTGCAATGCCATGCGTCAAGCCCAGGCCGACTTTCAGCTGCAACTAGGTATGCCTGTCCGCATTTGATTTTTTAGTTACAAACAAGCCTGCAAGTAACATGTACAGACTCCCTCTTGATCTTCATTTTGTGAAGCCAAGACAATGGTGAATGTTCTTTGTGATTCTCTATTGCAAGTCTATAAGGTCTGATATGATGATAGTCCTGGATATGATGATAAACTACATCTGGCAGCAAAACCACTGATCAAGAGATTGCAGGTATTGAGGAACTTAGAACCACCTCTTAATTGCTGTTATTCCCAGGTCCACTCTGACACGGAGTGATAGCACCTTTTAGGGTCCCAGCTATGGGCTAATTTTGAAACAAAAACAACATTATGAAAGTGGAAGAATAAATATTTGTTGTAAAAATACCAGCAATAGATTTGTATAGTAATAATACTAGTGTTATGATGTTGATTTGGGGTTAGTAGAGACAAATGCTAAATAACACATAACAATAAAAAGGGTTTTAATAGGTTGGTAAAAAGGTACAGAAATCGCCTGAGTAGTCAATAACTAGCTCAGCTAAGAACTTCTCTGTCTATCTGTCTTCTCCATGTCAACTGATATGCCACTATTTAAAGTCTTTGTTCACAGACGCAGACAAGTTCATCTTCAAGAGGGGTGGTAGGTTTCCGACACAACAACTAGCAATACATTTTTATAGCTATATGAACAGCAATATATTTTATCTGTAGTTGAAGGCATGAAATTGTGTTCAAAATATTTACATTCCAGCATTGAATAACCCATAGATGTTGATATGCTGATGAACAAAATCAACCAACCAAGCAACATGAAATAACACTAGTTCATATAATATTCTAAATTTCTTAAAGAAATCAAAATGTATTTCAAAATATAACTTCAACAAAA